ACAGTGAGTCTCTGTCTCAAAAAAAAAGAAGTAATATGGGATCATATTCCATTTTTTTGCCCATGTCAAAGCTTTTTTCACATTAGCCAATATTGAATGATGCTGAAATCACAATTTCTCCCCTTAGTGCAGTGATTCTCAACCTTCCTAATGCTGAGGCCCTTTAATACAGTTCCTGTGGGTCCCGACCCACAGGTTGAGAACTGTTGCCTTAGTGGGAGGAGGGGTGTACTTACCTAATCACATCACAAATAATATTTTCCTTTTAAAGTGTCAACCTAAGTTTGGCTCCTGCAGCCCAAGCTGCTAAGGCGCCAGCCACATACACCTGAGCTGGCAGGTTCAAATCCAGCCCGGGCCCACCAAAGAACAGTGACAGCTGCAACCAAAAAATAACCAGGCTTTGTGGTGGGCACATGTAGTCCCAGCTACTTGGGAGGTGGAGGCAGAAGAATAGCTTGAGCCCAGGAGTTGGAGGTTGCTATAAGCTGTTATGCCATGGCACTCTACCGAGGGCAACAGCTTGAGGCTCTGTCTCAAAAATAAATAAAGTGTCAACCTAAATAATCAGAGAGAGAGTCTCTAAAAGAAAATGTTTGAGAATAGAGCATTACAATGGGAATACATATGCCATAGCAAATTATGTAAGTATTTAGGGACTTAAAAGAAAGACAAGGTTTTTTGTTTGAGACAGAGTCTCACTGTCATTCTGGGTAGAATGCAGTGGCATCATAGCTCACTGCAACTTCAAATTCCTATGCTCAAGAGATCCTCCTACCTCAGCCTACTGAGTAGCTGGGACTACAGGCACATGCCACAATGGCCAGCAAACTTTTCTATTTTTTGGTAAAGATGGGGTCTCCCTCTTGCTCAAGCTGGTCTTGAATACCTGACCTCAAGTAATCCTCTGGCCTCAACCTCCCAGACTGCTGGAATTAGTGGCGTGAGCCACTGCACTCAGCCAAGACAAAGGTTTTTATAGGAAAAAAAGAGCATAACATAATTGTTTTGAAATTATCTTTGGCTACAAGGGTGATACCCAGTCTGGGATGGGATAAGTGATGCTGGGCAGATTTCCTCACAGAAGTTTCTTTTTTGAGACAGAGTCTCAGTACGTCCCCCTTGGTAGAGTGCTGTGGTGTTGTAGCTCACAGCAACCTCAAACTCTCGGGTTTAAGTAATTCTCTTTTTTTTTTTTTTTT